CGGTCCTAGGTGTTCCTCTTTTCGTTGATGCTGCAACACTGACTACCCCCAGACCATGTCTTGCAAGAGTTTGTGTTGAAATAGACTTGCTCCAGTCCAGGGCATCTCGGGTGTGGGTTGGTAATGGAAAGTATGAAGGCTTCTAGCAGAGCTTTATACCTGAGAACACTCCCAAATATTGTTTCCACTGTTATTGGCAGGGGGATGACATTGAGGGTTATCATGTTCTGAAACTAGAGCTTCACCTTTCGAGGGCGGAGAAGCCCCATCAACGGGTTAAAGATGCGAGCCAGGTTTTGGAGATAGCAGGTTGCAGGGTGCGGAGAGTTGGCAGCCTCTGAGCGGGGCTTGAGAGGGGATGCCTTCAACAATTGCTGAGCGGGGGCGACAGCAGCGGCGGACGGTGTTGGTGGGGAATAACCTGCTGGCGGGCTAGGAGAGAGAGAAACACTTGTGCATGGGAAGTGCAAGCTGGGAGCGTAGCGCTGCCTGTAGCGGGCAATGAGGAGGAGCATCGGAGTGGTAGCGGGCTGGTGGCCGACGACGGGAAGGGGACAGCTGGTGCACTCGTTGCCCGCAGCGGTGGTGGTTATGGAGGGCACAGGCGGTGCCAACGGGGTGATTGCGAGGGACTTGCAGCAGTAGCAGCAGCTTGGTCCTGGGGCTGATATGGAGTTGATTGTGGATCTACGTGATATTCAGGAGTGGTTTGGAAGTTTATCTCCTCGCGGTACTTCGGAATTCAAAGCCCAGAGGGATAGTGCGTCGATCTTCGGCACACTTCATTTGGATTCGGTTGCCAAAACGACAGTTGCATTGCTGCATTCATCTCCGGGCGACGGACCTCTGGGGGCGGCTTAGTCGAAACAACGAGGCATCCGCGCTCGTTTCCCGTCTGATCGTACTTTGCGCTCCAGTAAGTCATCTTCATCTAATTCCTTTGCTAGTCTATCCCATGATTAAACTGCTATTTTTGAATATAAGGGGCGTTACTCGCATGCCCAACTTGAGAAGGTTAAAAAAACTGGTTCAGTTACACTCTTTACAATTGGCGGCAATTTGTGAGCCGAAAGTGGCCTTAGGAAACATTAATAGTGTGCGTCTGAAATTGGGCATGGATTTTAGTATCTCCAATCGGTAGGGTACCATTTGGGTTTTTTTTATAAATCGGTTCTCTCTTGCTTTGTTGTTGGAGAGTCCTGTCAACATGTCTCGCTCTATGTTGAATCCCCTATACTCCCTGTGAGGACTCATATTTTTATTTTTATTTTATTTTTAATTGCTTATTTTATCGATTTATTTATTGGTTTATTCTAAAATAGCTATTTTTATGCTTAATTATCCTAGTATTAGTTTGTTATATTATCGTTACAAGAATATCTTAGAAATTACGCTTTATCGCGCGCGAGTCGGAAGTTCACATTTTCACGCACGTGACTAATTGAAGGACTTTAGAAATTTATTTTAGACTACTAAGAGTGAATAATTATAGTATTAAAGGAATTACATTTGGAGGTTTGGTGCATAAGTGAAATAAACCCGAGAGGAAACGAACACGAAACGCGCGCGCGGGAAACATTATTCCTAGTTAACTTTGAATAGCTTTCACTTTATTTTCCCTCCAATCTTCCTCAAGAAGCCACACAACTCATTACACACTCTCTCTCCTTACTCCATAGCCGGCCACCCTCAAGGAAGAGGAAGCAGAAATCCAACTTCACCTTGCACCATTTTTGCTCCAATCTTGCACCCAAAAGCACCATCCAAATTCTAACAACTTGGAGATTCACCTTGGCTTGGTGGAGGACATCTTTCTCACAGTTTTCTTGGGCTTTAGAGGTGCAAAATTTCTGATTTCACTGAAAGGAGTAGGAGGTAATCATCCAACCATTTAATCTTGGCTTTAATAGGTTGATCTTTTCTAGGAAGCTTGTAGCTTCATTATTATTGTTGTTGTTAGATTTAAATGGTTGGAGTGGGCTCTATGAAATTCCACCCTGATGATATAGGATTGATATGATGATAATAAGTGTTTTTTATGTTAGTTAAGTGATGAACAAGATGATATTTGTTGGAAAAGTGAAAGGAAAACCAAAGGAAGTTGAGGAGTGAACTGACTGAAATCTGCCCTGTCCTTGCTGTACCTTTAGTTCTAATTTTTTATGCTCAATTGACCTTGAATCTGATGTAGATATGTTGTGTAGGACGTGTGGAAAGTGTCCGCCAAAAATCATGTGAATTGGTTGAGTAAAAGTTGGAATTTCGAAATTGTAGAAATTTGGAAAACTGTGTCCAGGTGTTCTGGATAGAGCATCTTTGAACGATCATAACTCTCTGCTCAAACGTCAAAATCAAGTTCCATTTATGGCATTTGAAACTAGACATTCGTAGTTTTCTAACGGTATATCATGCACCTTCTAATTTGAAGTGAGTCATCTGTAGTGACTGATCAAATTCGGTTACCCTGTTCTGTCAGTCCAACCGAGAGGAAGTTAGAAACTATAACTTGTGGCTTTATTTTCTCTCAGTTGAAAATTGAATTTTAAAATGATTTATTCTAATGAAATGTAGCGTTTTGAATGTAGTTTCCAACGCCACTAACCATGCTCAATTTCAAGTTGTATTGAGTGAGATATAGTCCAATTCCCAAATGTAGCAAATCTGGAAAACCCTAATTTTGGCTAGCCGAATGGCCTAACTTGATTTGGGACATGTTGTTTTGAAACTTTTGGTATCAATTACCTACCAAATGTATATTAAATGTTTCTTGGGTCTTGCTTTCACAAATGAGTTAGATTGGAGTTGATTTCTTGGGTCAAAATGTTTGAAAAAGGAAAAGGAAGCAAAGAGACAGATTTGCCTTGGAAATTTCTTGAAATTTGGTGGTCTTGTTAACTCCCTTCCCGTATGAATTTTCAAATGAAATTTTATAGATGAATAGCACTTATATGGAAGTTTTATTGTACCAATTTTGGTGTCATTCTAAGATCATTTTGATATGCAAATGATGTGCCAAAATTGTTCTTCCAAATCTGAAAAATGTTCAATTAGTCCTCATTTTTAGCTAACTTTGAGTTGCTATATCTTGACGCTCAAAACTCTGATTCTAGTTCCGTTTCCTGTGTTTAAAACTTTGATTGGAACTCTAATAGTTTGTGAATTTTAGAGGCTAATTCACTTTCTGTGAATTTTGCTGAATTTCCAAAGTTTGTCGAAAACCAAGATTTAAACTGTCTTGTAGTGTGAATAAGCCACTTTAAACTGAAATTTGAGTGTTTTTTATTTAGAATCTTGGAAAAGTGTCTTCTAGGAACTTTGTACTTGAAACTAGTTTCCAACGGTGCCAGGTTTTCCAATTTTGGACCTACAGAGTGTAAGATATGATTTTTCAAAGATTGCTCCTTAAAACTAAAAATTTTAAATTTGAAGAGAATTGAGTTTTTAGAAACTCTTCACTACCCTTCGATATTGAAAGACTGTTTTAGACTTGATTTCTTGAAGGAAAACAGTTTTTCCTTGCATCATTAAACCTCACTTTTGAGTCTCGATTTATGAGTAATTAAGTCTCTCTTTCATGATATTACTTAGATTGTACAAGTGTACAATCTCCCTTGTTAAGTAGGGATTTTTAAGCGATGGTGTGTGATAGTCAATTATTATTTGCTCGGGCACTCAAGGGGACATTCAAGAGGATATCATAGGGGATGCCTAAACACTTGATTGAGCACTACTCCCTTATTTTGATTGGTGAGTGTCAAGTGCATGACTAGTTGAAAATTATGTGATTTGCTCATTATGAAATGGATGGCTTATAACTGCTGAGTCGAGTGTGTACTTTATCGCATTCGTTCTCATTTAAATGAATTGGGATTGAATTGAATGAATTGAATTGAATTACCTGAACTGAATTATATGCTATGGTTGCATATGTCATTGGAATGAATCTCCTCGACCCATAACTGAACTGTATATATGTCGTTGAAGTGAATCTTCTCGGCATACAGCTGAATTGGGGGACGCCCAAACTCATTGGCCGACCTTGGACTCGAGCCGGCATGGGCCTGGTCGGGAATCTTGGTGAGTCATGAGATAAACTGTAAACTTGATCTATTGAGAGATTTTGCTTAGTCTACTCGTGTAGTAGCGCCTTTATTGCTGTTCGGGCCCGGTGCGGTGTATGGTGGACGGAACTGTGAAGTAAGTGGAGTTCTATGGATTTAAAATGCTGACTCGGTTGACGGAGTGTCATCGTGGGAAAGTATTTGATCGAGGTCTGGCGAAACACGTGGAACTTAGCTCCTGAGAGTTACAATATCTTTGAATTGTTTCTGTTTATTTTTCTCACTCAAATCGTTGTTTACTTGAATACTACTATTTTACTTGCTAAATGGGATTGTTATTTGGTCTACGTGCTTGCATGTGTGTTCTTGGCCCCACGAGCAATCGCTCACCCTGTAGATTTGTTTTCCTTAATAGGAGCTGATTTGAAAGATTTTGGAAAAGCTGGCTAGGTTATACTTTTAATTGGAATCTGGGTTGTAAATGTTTAGTCGACTTTTAATGGTTGTATTTTGGGACTTGATGTATCTTTTGAGAACATGATGTAAGATTTGGATATACAGTTAAGGAAGCGACTTTTCTTCATTTTAGACTTGTATATTTTAGTATGTATCGTTAAGTTTGAATTGAATTGTCTTGAGTCCTGGCAATAGTTGGGCAGGCGTCCCGCAGATACCCTTTGATTCACCTTAAGAAGAAGTGGGGGTGTCACACTCCCGATTACCGTTTGTCTCTCCTTTGTTCATGCCAAGTGCACTATGCAAAATCGGTTGGAGACGGATGAGTTCGGTTCAGGGTATCGTGGAGGACAACATCGGTTGGATTGTTCGGTCAGGGTCAATGAATTTCTAGCATGATAACTGGCTAGGGTCCGACCCACTGTGTCACCGAGTGGAGATTTTCCAGACCCAACGGGTGGTGGATTTTGTTACTGGAGGGGAATGGGATGTCCGATTGCTCTCGCAGGTCTTGCAGCTGAAGCTGGTGCGGCTGGTGCTACAGACATCGCCTTTGACGCTCCAGGGGAAGGACAGGATGGTTTGGATGCCAACCCATGATGGGGAGTTCTCGGTGACCTCAGCTCTGTCACTTGTTCGCACTCATTCTAATGGGTTGCTCGGTGTCGCTTGTATTTGGCACAGGGCCTTGCCAATAACAATCTCTTTTTTCATGCTTCGCCTATTTTCTTAGAGGTTAACCTTACTTGAGCAGTTACGACATTTGGGAATACAAGGTCCTTCTAGATGTTGCTGCTGCTCCGCTCCCAAGAGGAATGATGGGATCATGTCTTTTGCACTGGTGAAGTTGCCTGCAGGTTTGGATGGCATTTGAAATTCAGGAGGCGACGACGTCTCGTATTAGCTCGGCTTGTCATATGGTTTTCTCGTGGTGGGTGCGAGCTGCTCCGAATCGGTATTTGGCCTTTGTCTTTCGTATCCTTCCCTCTCTAATATGTTGGGAATTGTCGCGAGCGAGAAATGGTGCATTAATGCAAGGGGGACGATCAGAGGGGGGAGTGGTGGTGGCCCAAATCTTGACTCGGATTAGGGAGTTTTTGCATATACAATTTCCTTTGCTTCATGGCCCCATGGCCCTTGGGAGAGCTTGTACACGGCCTTGGCGGCTTGGTCACAACAGAGGCGCGTTTGGCCGGTGAAATGGGTGGCCCTGACTGCAGGTCATAATCTTAATACTAATGGGTGTTCGCTTGGCAACCCAGGTGTCAGTGGAGGAGGAGGGCTATTGCGTGACTTCTAGGGGGCAGTGCTCCTTGGCTTTTCATGTTTCTTTGGTGTCACCACTAGCCTGGATGCGGAGGTAAGGCCTTGGTGTTTGGGGTGAAACAGTGTGCCGATCGGGGGTATATGGAGCTGCACTTGGAGCTAGATTCCTTAACCCTGGTTCGGATCATATTAGGAGATCATGCGTGTCCCTGGCGATTGCAGGTGCAACTAGACGATCTGCCGCGGTTTCAGAGTCTATTCCAGTCCGTAACGCACTGCTATAGAGAGGCAAATAAACCCTCAGACAGGCTGGCTAAGATGGGTGCGAATCGCGGAAGTGATACTTTGTCTGAGTAATTTGGAGCGTTGCCCCCTTTGGTGCGCGATGATATACGGATGGATAGGTTAGGTTTCCCTAGCTTTCGGAAAAGGTGCTTGTAGCTCGACACTTGTTGATGTAATTGTTTTCTATGACTGAATAAAGCGGTTTTTTCTGTTGGAAAAAAAAGGGACCTTTTATTCTACAGTACTCTAGTTATAAATAGTTCGTTTCAACACAAAAAGGGCAAAAGTGAAATTGCTGATCTGCATGAAACAAAAGTGTTTGATACTTTGATTAGCATTTATTCATCTAAGACTATATCAGTATTAGATAAATGCCATATCCAACCAGAAAAATACTATTTCCACTTAAATCACTTTTATTTTTATCTCTTCTACATTAATTGTATTCATATGGCGTCACTAAGTTAGTTAATCTTGGTTCTTCTCTGCATGTTGCATTATGAACTTTAGCTTTTGTTGAAGAGAGCAGAACTTAAAGTATCTATTATGATGGTGATTAATTAGAGAATTTTTGTTCCCACAGTACCACCGGATTACGTGTTTGGTGTCCAAAATAAGTAGCAATCGAACTTTTCAGTAAGTATTTGCTGTTGGCCGTCTAGTTCTACGGTATTTTGTGGCGAAATATGTTTTGTAGCAAATTGGACTCTGATAAACACGAATAAATATCTGCTAAAGAATTGGATGCTAAAAAAAAGTCTAATGAAAAATGAAAGAAATTCATAAGCACAACCAATATTCTCCATGAAAAACAAAAAATAAACACTAATTGAAATATAAAAATTGGCCTTGAAAATCTCGCACTCCCTATGTGCCATAATTTGAGGTTTTTTGTTTTTCGAAAATCAAACTTTTTAAGAAAAAAATGTAATTATTAAGTTTGAATGTGGTGATTTTGGATGAACCTTAAACATGCTCCTCACATGGAGTGTAGTGGCACGCAAAAAGTGATTTTTTCAAATGGTAAAATGGAACAGCTTATGAAGTTGTGTTGATTTTGAAAAGATGACCCTTTGTTTGGAAAATCCAAAAGGTGAAAACATGACACTAAAAAAGGATGGTTATTTTACCATTTTACTGTTTTATTTTCCTTTTTATTTTTTTAAAAAGTTTCCGTTGACTCTAGCTTTGCTTCCTTTAGTTTAGTTGAATGGAAAACCAAAGACCATGTACTTTATTTGTTTTCCATTAATTGACATCAATAGGGTGGGCCACATTATAAAATTCATAATTTTTTCAAAGAGTGAGTTCGTAGTAGTTTTTGGTGGGGCACGGGCCCCCACTTTAAATCCACCACCATTAAAGGTTCCCAAGTGTAAATTTTTTTTTAAACTGGAAGTTGTGAAAATGTAAGGGAATAATAAATACGACTGCGTGCTAAACAAATACAAAATTAAAATAAATCAAAGCCATAAATAGGTATAATTATTCTATAATTAAAAGATTGTATTATCTTGGTTATAGGGACTGTTTTCATTTTCTTTTACATCTAGATTTTAGATTTTTTTTTTAAACTGAAAAGGTCAAAATCTAGAATATACCTAGGACTTAACGTAATTGATTCTGATTTTATTTCTCTATGATTACATTCTGTAATCAGTTTTTGCAAAATTTACAACAATCAAGAATAGGCTAAAAGATGCATGAATACCAAAAAAAATAAAATGCGATCGGAAAAATTTTTCTATATTGGGAATAAAAGATGAACATCCTAACTGACTCCATAAAGTTTTGATTCTAAATTACTCACTAAAAAGATGCTTATCTCAAGTGAATATCAGCTCATAACAATAGGTAACATTGAAGACGTGCGATTGGTTTTATTAGAACAAATTCATGTTGATGTTCAATGGATTCCTAGAGAAGCAAATAAGGATACTTTAGCAACTACGCAAAATCTACCAATCTAACTGAATCATTTTGGGATTCCCCCTGACTTTGTCAAAAAAATTGTGCTGTATGATTTTGAGAAACTTATTAATAATGTTGGTTTTCCATTTTCTATATATATACACACACACATGCAATCTTCCCCACATATATATTTCGTGTAGATATGGGTCTTTATGAAATTATTGAAATTGTTATGGCGAGCTTGAATTCCTAATTTGAACCTAAGCTGACATCATATCCTATCCAATGAAGGAAAAAAAATCCTGAAAATGGCAATAGCTGACTTATGCACTAATGAAAAGAACACTTATGAAATTAATTAATCTCCACCAAAATTAATGACGTGGAATCTAAATTAATTTTTGTAAAGAATTCAATCCTGTGTTTGTGTAATGAGAAAGCAACAATAGCTGACTTATTCATGCGTTGTACGAATATTCTTGAGTAGTACTTGTTGCTTTAGAGGCCAAATGTCAATGTTATTAGCAAAATCCCAAAGGGTCTTTTGACTGAACAAGAAAAGAAATTAAATCCCACTACAAAGCCGTACCTACCTCTGTAAAGCTGATCCGTGTGGAATTGCGCGCCCGCGCGTTGGGATGGACGAGCGGCCAACGACAATGACCAAGTCACCAGCAAATGAAAGAGACAGCATCAATTAATGCCGGACTTGATTGATTCTCCAGTTAATTTCACGGACAAATAAATCTTCTCATTTCTTGAAATTACTCGAGTAGAAATTTTGTAAGGATGTGTCTTGGCATATCGAAGAGATGGTTATTAGTAGAATTTTGAGTACTTTCATCTGTTAAAAGGTCATATAGCTGCTCAAGTGTCTTTGAGTGACAAATTGAGATTTAATGTCTCTATGTAGACTCAAGGCTCCAAAATTGGTTCTGCTCCATGTTGTCCTTCGGTTCGACAAATTAATGGGAATTAAGAGCCAGCCACTTTATTTTCAAGTTTGGCTGTATGTTCGAAAACTCTCTCATGTTACAGCATTAATATTTCATATTTGTGTCATCAAACAGAGCAATTGATTATTGAATTTTTCATTAGGCACTCGTTAAAACATTTAAATCATACCTAAATTATTATGTAAATACATACACTCATATTTATTACACCTCTGAATTGTGATACTTTTCAATTGCTAGGACAAGACTCTTTAAAACTCTCTTGTGCACTAGGTCAGGAGTTCAAACTCTATTTACTATATCACACAAGAAGTATAGCATTTCTTGTCTTTAAAAAATTCGGAAAGTGCAACAAGACGTAAAATATTTTAGGTGAGATAACTTGGTTTCTTTCACGCATGAATTGAAGAAGAAAATGATTTATCAACATCCTCACTCCAACTTGAGGTAACCTATGCTTGTGCATAGCCCACTTGCAAGAAGATTTCACATATTAACGTATAATAATCCTAAATCAATATATCTTATTAAAACAGTAGGAAAATATGAGATGTAAATAGATCATAGGTATGAGAAAATAATGCTATGAGATGTAAACAATTACTCGATGAACTCAAAAAAAAAATAAAATTGTACTCCATCGTCCTTTACTAGCTAATCTTTGGTTGGCAGAAAATAAAGCACAAGAACTTGCATTGAAAACTTGAGGGATATGGGGCTAAAGTATCAGTATCAATCCTGAACATAAATTGTGGACCATGTATATATATATATATATATATATATATATATATATATATATAGATGCCAAGTGTAAATGTATCATGCATATAATACCTCGATTATCAGCATTTCATTGCTGCCATCATTTCTGCCTTGTGGCTTCTACATTCTAAGTTGATGTGCAAAATGAAAAATGGAAAAGAAGTAGAAGAAAATTCATCATACAAAACTTTTTCTTGTAGACAATGAGTTTTCATTTATGCATTATTCTTCTCAAGCCACAGGTTTTTTTTCTTTAATTATGAATCCTCGAGGCACAGATTTTGTAGGTGACATAATGGTGAGCTTTTGCTTCCGTCGATTGTACATGGAAAATGATGTAACTGACAATCCAGCAACTAGATGAGTTTATAGTTCTACACTCCGACTTAGCATAGCTGCTAAAGACTTGAGCTTTGTGACATTATGCTAATGCTCGTTACCTTTTCTACTAAAAGAAGTTAGAAATTGCTGGACTTAAAAATTTCAAATTTTGCAATGGTGGTATTGATGCCTTTTTTAAATTCCTTTTGTAAGCTAATTCTGACTTAGACTTTGTCTTAATTCTTGGATATTTGTCGCTTTCTCTTAACAATTCAGCGATAAGAAGTTTCAACACAACTACCGATTAGGTTTTGGAAAATTGCACCATCTCTTGCTATAAATAGCTATAATCATTTACTTGTTTCCTCACAAGCATAGCCAACATAAGATATCGGAGATGGCTAAATCTCAATTTAGCTGCGCAACCTTCTTTGCCCTGCTCATCTGCTTCCTCCTCCTCGTACCAAATAGTAAGTTGTAGCTAGTCTTTAGTGAGAGAGTTTACACTTCTATAGTCTTAAATGGTGAACACATGCACAGACTGGCGTATATTTGTACATTCCCAAAGTTTTAATTATTTGTCTCTACATCTCAAATAGAAATGGCTGTCACTAGCAATGAATTAGACTAGTTATACATATGTATCATGCATATGTACGCTCACAATCAAAATTTTACCAATTAATTTGTATTGCATATGCGCCATATGCTTTTCAATAAATGTTTTTGCTCAAAGTTTAACCCTATATTCTACTCCTGAATTTTCTCTCCATTTTTTAATTTCTCATCACATGTGAATATACTGCAAGTGTACATGTGTAGTGTTGCAAGTAACAATACATGTGGCATAAAAATAGAAAACGAGATAGAGATTGACATAAAAAATGACATAGAGGAACCATATCCTATAATATTAACAAACACTTATCCCCTATATGGACGGGCTCGATCCATCATATATTTGGACTAACTCTACATATTTTGCTCTCTTTTTGCTTTATTTCATGCAGAGATGCCAATGGCTGAAGCTAAATTTTGCAAGAGGCCTGCCGAGCACTATTCAGGGACATGTTACCCTAACCGGTGCTACAGTTATTGCAAATCTAAAGAACATGCTTACTCCGGAGAATGTATTTGGACTGGCCAGGGTCATCAACGTCATTATGCTTGCTATTGTGTCTACAATTGTTGAAAGCCTACTATTTGCTACAATTTGCACCGTACTTTGGAATGAAATAAAGGCCAACAATTCACTAGAATTGCGTATGTGCCGCCAATAGTTGTTGTTCCTATGTCATCAGTTGCCAATAACGTACGGTCATGTCTGTGTTATCATTGAAACATCACTGTTCAGTGATAATTTAATCAGTATTCATGTGTTTCTGTTACCATCTGTCTTGTATTCATTTAAATATAAATGGACTACCTCTGTCGAAGTATGAGGGCCATTCTGGGATTTTAAATTGTTATGAGTACATGTGATTATTATGTTTGGACTCTGATAAACACCAAAAAAATCTGCTAAAGAATTGGATGCTAAAAAACAAGTCTGATGAAAAAAAAAAGAAAGTCATAAGGACAACCAATATTCTCGATGACAAACAAAAAAATAAACAGTAATTGAAATATAAAATTGCCATGAAAATCTTGCACTCCCTATGTGCCATAAGTTGAAATTTTTTGTTTTTGGAAGTCCAACCTTTTAAGAAAAAAAAATGAAATTATTAAATTTGAATGTGGTGATTTTGGACGAACCTTAAGTTGGGCCCTAACATTTAAATTCTTTGAGTCTAGTGGCACGCAAAAAAAAAAAGTAATTTTCTCAAATGGTAAAATGGAATAGCTTATGAAGTTGTGTTGATTTCGAAAAGATGACTCTTTCTTTGGAACATCCAAAAGGTGAAAACATGACACTAAAAAGGATGGAGGGTGGATAAAAGTAATAGTTGCTATTTTACCGTTTTATTTTCCTTTCTATTTTTTTAAAAGTTCCGATTGACCTGGCTTAGCTTCCTTTAGTTTAGTTAAATAGAAAACCGAAGACCATGTACTTTATTTGTTTCCATTGTTTGACAACAATAGGGCAACAAGTAATTTTAAAACTAGTGGAACACATTATAAAAATTCATAATTTTTTCAAAGAGTGAGTTTGTAGGAGTTTTTGGTGGGGCCCCCACTTTATATCCACCACTATTAAAGGTTCCCAAGTGTAATTTTCTTTTAAACTGGAAGTTGTGAAAATGTAAAGGAATAATAAATACGACAACATGCTAAATAAATACAAAATTAAAATTAATCAAAGCCAAAAATAGGTATAATTATTCTGTAATTAAAAGATTGTATTATCTTGGTTATGGGGGCTGTTCTCATTTTCTTTTACATCTAGATTTTAGATTTTTTTTAAAACCAAAAAAGGTCAAAATCTAGAATATACCTAGGACTTAACTTAATTGATTCTGATTTTTTTTCTCTACAATTACATTCTATGATCAACTTTTGCAAAATTTACAATAAACAAGAATAGGCTAAAAGAAGCATGAATACCAAACAAATAAAATGCGATCGGAAAAAATTTCTATATTGGGAATAAAAGATGAAACATCTTAACTAACTCCATAAAGTTTTGATTCTAAATTAGTCACTAAAAATACGCTTATCTCAAGTAAATATCAGCTCATAAAATTTGGTAACATTTTTTTTTTTAAATAAAGGGTTACTTTATTTGATAAAATATAAGGAGGACATACATGGAAAGCAAAACTAGAAAAGCACAAGCGCTATCTTAACCTACGCTCTAACTCTAAACAAACTTGGAACACCCATCTGATCAAAAGCGAAATCACCTCTCACCAAGCGAGGCAAATCACGAAATGAGCCATACGTTAAAGTTTTTCATGAGTCCGCTCCAATGTTTGCAAGGCAGTCAGCCGGTTTATTCGCTTCCCGAAAGCAGTGTGATACCTCTCTAAAGAACCTTCTAACTTTTAGCAGTTCCTGTAAGTCCCCTCGCAACCGCATCATGGACACCGAGTTTTCCCTTGAATGATCTAAACCAGAACCAAAGAGTCAGATTCTAAGTGTAAATCAGAATACCCACGAGCAATAGCCAACCCAACACCGAAAATCAACCTTTTCAATTCAGCTTGCAAACTGGTAACATTGAAAATATTGGTTTTATTAGAACAAATTCATGTTGATGTTCAATGGATTTCTAGAGAAGCAAATAATGTTACACATACGTTAATAACTACGCTAAATCTACCAATCTAACTGAATCTTTTTGGATTTCCCGCCTGACTTTGCCAAATAAATTGTGCTATATGATTTCCGGCTAACTTATTAATAACGTTGGTTTTGCATTTTCTATACACACACACATACAATCTTCCCCACATATATATTCTGTGTAGTTATGGGTCTTTATGAAATTAGTGAAATAGTTATGGCCAGGCTGAATTCCTAATTTGAAGGAAAAGAAATCCTGAAAATGACAATAGCTGACTTATGAATTAATGAAAAGAACACTTATGAAATTAATTAATCTCCACCAAAATTAATGACGTGAAATCTAAATTAATTTTTGTCAAGAATTCAATCCTGTGTTTGTTTAATGAGAAAGCAACAAAAGCTGACTTTTTGATATACTGTACGGATATTCTTGAGTAGTACTTGTTGCTTGAGTGGCCATAAGTCAATGTTATTAACAAAATCCCAAAGAGTCGTTTGGAAAAAAATAAAATAAAATCCCAAAGAGTCGTTTGACTGAACAAGAAAAGAAATTAAATCCCACTACAAAGCCGTACCCACCTCTGTAAAGTTTATCTATGTTGAACGGCCCAAGTTGGGAAATTACAAACTTCTCACAACAATTTACTCCATCCAAGAATTGGTACATATGAATAGCATTCCAGCGGGGAAGAAAAAAATTAATAGCATTCCAGCCGGTGGAGAGATTCATAGATATTCTTGAAACTTTACAGTGAAAATTTCTGCTAGGGGTAGTGCAAGCTTTTGGCATGTTATTTGGTTGGGGACGGGCCATTATGTCGTCATGTGGATACTTTTCAGGAGTGTGCAGTTTTCGATTTTGTTGAACAGGGTTGCTGGAATGTACAACGGTTAAGCATGGTAGTGCCTAGTAGATGGGTGGGGAGGATTTTGGGAGTCATGCCTCCTTCACTGGACGAAGCGGATACCATGGTTTGGGCTCTTAGTACCTCCGGTGCCTTCTCATTAGCATCAGCCTACCGGATCACTCGAGAGGGTGGAAACAGCTCTTGGCTCTACTCACTGCTCTGGCTTCAAGGGCTGCCGATAAAGATTTCCTTTTTCATGTTAAGATTAATAGAATCCCGTTTACCGGTGATGGACAGGTTGCATAAACTTGATATACTCGGCCCCTCTCGTTGTTTTGTTGTCTACATTCTTGTCAAGAGTCTACTGATCGTATTTTCTGTACCGGGGTGGCGGCAAAGAGGATTTGGGGCTACTTCGAAGGGGTGATTGGAGGGTTTCGAGATTCCTCTACGGTACGCCACAAGTTGGTTAGCTGGTGGTTGAAGCCTACTCGGAACCCGTATCTCCAGTATCTGTTCCGTTTATTGTCGTCTTTAATCTGTTGGAACTTGTCGAAGATGCGGAACTCATTTGTCTGTGATGGCCATCTGCAGCCCGTGGCTCATGTTTGTGCGGCAATTTTTGGGGATCTCAAGGACATTTTCCTCCTTAAGTTTAAAGGCCTCATTACCTCTGGTCAGGATTGGCCGGGTTTTTACGGTATGGTGGTTGGTCAGCACAGGGTTTCCAGGACCTTGGTGGTTCGGTGGAGCTGCCCAGGCCACCAAGTGGTCAAGCTGAACTCGGATGGCTGCTCTCGGGAAACCTGGGAGTGAGTGGAGGTGCGGGGGGGGTGCTTCGGTGCTCGAAAGGAAGGTTTCTTTTGGGGTACTCGTGCTTCTTTGGGGAGATGACGAGTTTGCAGGCTGAATTGAAGGCGTTGATCTTTGTTGTTGGGCTGGCTATTGCTCGTGGGTATTCTGATTTACACTTGGAATCTGACTCTTTGGTTTTGATTCAGATCATTCAAGGGAAGACTCGGTGTCCATGGTGGTCGCGAGGGGACTTGCAGGACCTGTTAAAAGTCAGAGGGTTCGTTAGAGAGGTGTCTCATTGCTTTCGAGAAGTGAATAAACCAGCTAACCGTCTTGCAAATATTAGAGCAGACTCAAGGAAAACTCTAACGTATGGCTCATTGCGTGATTTGCCTCGGTTGGTGAGAGGTGACGTCGCTCTTGATCAGATGGGTGTTCCAAGTTTGCCTAGAGTTAGGGCGTAGGTTAAGATAGTGCTAGTGCTTTTCTGACTTTGCTTTCCATGTATGCCCTCCGTATTTTTATCAAAAAAAAAAGGTAAGTTTTCCATAAAAAAATGTAGATTTTGAGTGCCTACAGTTAGTTGCCAAAATTTGTCAGTTTACCTTGCAATTAAATAAAAAAAATACAGTGAAAATTTCATTAATTTTTCAAGTATACGGTGTCTCTTGGTTTTCAGATTGTTATATCTGTCTATGTCTGATATAAATTTATCCATTAATACAAATTTCATTCATGAAATTTTATGATGTGTTTTAAAATAAGAAAGAAAGAAAGAAAGAATCTTTTATTTTTGGAGAAAGAAAGAATCAACAGATATGCGTCACAAGAGTCTATAAAACAGAGCTATATGATCAATATTTTATCTTCAATTGCTTAGGATTAGATTTGTAGAGTGCACGCAATAGGTTAGCCGACGAAAGAATTAGTAAACAAATGCCTCAGAATGATTCAAATGTCAACGTTTCAGGTTTATCATTGACTTTTTTAAAAAAAAATTCCAGAAGTTTATGAAATACAAATATTGGACGTGGTAAAATCTCAATTTAGCTACACAACTTTATTTGCCAGCCTCCTTGGCTTCCTCCTTTTGGCAACAACTGTCTGAGCCGAAATGCGGTCTGTAGTGAATTAAATATGTCTTGCTTCTGATGATGTAAATAGTCAAGGAAACTGAAATAGATCATAGGTATGAGAAAATAATGCTATGAGATGTAAATAATTACTCGATGAACTCAAAAAAAAATCTAAAAAATTGTACTCCATCTTCCTTTACAAGCTAGTCTTGGTTGGCAGAAAATAAAGCACAAGAACGTGCATTGAAAACTTGAGGGATGACGTGCGCGGAGTATACATATACAATTAGCTCATTCACAATCAAGTTTTACATTTATAATTTCTAAATACCCCACACGCGATTTATCGTAAGTATACGAATCGTAAGCGAGTATAGAGTATTAAGGGTCGATCCCACAGGGAAGATTGCAATTATCGGTGATTTTCGAACTTCTTTATTATCTAGA